CCAATTTCGGTTGTTTGAGCTAGGGAAAAAAATCGAGCTATGTCAATTCGGTTCAAATTCAGGAGCTCGGTGAATTTCGATGCGTTGGAGATCGGGGAACGTGCGTCGATTCCCGTCGGGGAGCTTCGGGCGAAGATTCTGAAGGGAAAAGGTTCTCAGCAGCAGCCGCAAGGGTTTGATCTCGTGTTCTCCGATGCGGAATCTGGTTTAGGTACCTCTGTATTTGCTCGAAATTCATTTGATTTCTTTCGTCGTTTGGTTCAGTTATGTTTTTTCTGGTTTAATCTGTGGTTTATGTTTGTTTTTTGCCTTGTTTAACAGGTGCCTTTTCTGTTCTAGATAAACTTTTTTAAGTATTAAGCAGCTTATGGTGCTCATTATTTTTGTTTTTCCTTTTTGGGTTAATTGAGTTGGTTTTTAATTGTTTATTTCTATCTGTTGTTTGGGGCGGCTTTGGCAGAGTTTGAGGGCGATGATTGTCAAATTCCAAGCGGATCTAGCGTCATTATTAAGAGAGTTCCTGCTAGAACTATGCCATCGGCTGGGTGAGTCTGTAATATTGCATGTATGTGCATTGTTTGCCTTCATTGTCTGGTGTGTAATTGAAGTTCTCATGTTTCTGAGCTATTTTGATTATTCTTTATGTGTCCTGAAAGTAATTAATAAGTTTAGTGTTTCTTTTTATGCTCAAAGATTATCAATGTGGATGCTGTTGGCAGTTACGTTCACGGTGTTGTGCATGTTAAGTACAGCTGTTTGTTTTCTTTTGTGTGATTATATTTTTAGTTGCCGAAAACATGGTTGTAGTACTTTTTTGATTGTATGCTACACATAGTGTTGGCTGCAACTGGATTGATGGCTTACCGCTCCATTATAGCAATCGATGTTTGTAAAGCACTAGTTGCATGCTTCAATGCTTTAGTAGAATACTGAAGAAAAGATCAAATGTGCAAAAAGTTGATTTTCATGATTCGAATTGAATAATGCAATTAATGTTATTGTCTAAGTTCTTTATGTGAATTTTTTAACCTTATATTTAACACGTGTTATGATACCGGTAATAATGATATATCCTCTAAGTTTGTTACGTGTATTATCTTAATTATAAACTTTTGTTTAACACGTGCTAACTATGCAAAAAAGGAAAAAAAGATACGGAGGTATCAAACACAAGCCAAAAGATGGACTTTTGAGTATTTTCGACAATATTTGGCTTGTAAAGAACTTGCTAAACTATTTCCAGAATGGAATCTGACCCAAATCATGTTTTTCTTTCCTTTAGTGGTAGCATTTGCAATTAAAAATGACCTTTTGAAGTGTTCTCTTGAATTGAAAATCAAAATCTTGTTAAAACTAATTTAACCCAATGATTGGTTCTTTTCATTAAAAACAACTTTGTAATAGTTCGTCTCTATTCACATAATGAATGCTGCTACACCTGTCCAATTGGTCACTTCCAATATCAATACTGGCTCGAGATAATAGTAACGTTTGAGTGCCACTTTATTGGAGGATTAAAACAACACTGCAACTATGGATATGCTGAATTCAAATTAAGAAAATCACTACTTCTATTTTTTTTTGGTGTTATACGAACAAAACCCCTATTGTACTCTTTGGGATGGCCTTTTTTTGGGTTTTGGTGTTTTTTATGTTTTATCGTAAGTAGGTGTCTTCTTAGAATTTCTCTGAAAGAAGTTAAAAATTTATGTGAAATGTGTCGTACCGCACATCGCATGTGGTGCACAGATATTAAATATTAACTTCCGAAAACTAACCAACTTATCTATTTTCCTTTTTAGGTTTGTCTGCTCACAAATTTAGCTTTTCACTATGTCGTTGCTGTTTTAGTTTAGGACCTGTTGAGATGTGCAGTTATCAAACTTTCTTAAATCTTCCTATGTATAGCTTATGTAATTTTCTTTCTGCAGGACACACGTTCAAGCTGTAAAGAATGTTGAAATAAAGCGGTCCTATAATCCAAATCCAGACGTAAGTTCTTCTATTTGTACTTTTGTGTTACTACTTACTACTCTTTGTGGTGATATTTTTTTTTTTCCCTTTTGGTAGTTCATAGTTGATTTGGCTGCATTTCTTTCGAGGAATTATCGTGCAAGTGGGATTTTCCCCCTTGAAAGAAATATCATTCAGCTAATGTGAATATTGCAATCATTATTCACTCTTTCTTCACACCTTCCAAATTTATGAGGATGGTTCTTTCATTTTGTTGATTACCTGGACCAACCTGATTTCGCTTTGCTCTGATTCGTCATTACAATTTTCTATTTGTATGGATGTATCTAATATAGTGAGTGGTTTTGTTCTGTTGCTAACCCTTTTCTTATCGGTTGACTTGTCTAGTATATTTCTGATATTCAATGGAAATTTCTGTATGTTGCAGAATGGACCAGCGGACGAATTTGACGATTTAGGTGCTGATTTGTGTCCTATGCCTGATTCGAACTTTCCTGAGTTCAATTTAGATTTTGATGACAATGACCTCCTGGGTAATGGAATGGACCAGGTGGTGAGTTTAAGGTACAATGGCTTATCCAGATATTTCTCTATATCATCACATGCTTACGGATATTTATGTATTTGATTTAAAGATTTGGTGATAATTTTCATGAGCAGATTTCAGTTTCACGTATTTGATTAGGTTTACTGTTATTGTTTGTGGCTAATCATATATCTGTTTTTAGTTGCTCGCTGCTGTACTTTCCAGTGTTGTCTTTCCTTGTGTTATCCTTTTTTTCCTCTTCTGGTTGAAATCTATCTTCTGTTTGTCATCAGCAGGACAGAATGTCAAAAGCAGGGCCCAAGTGATCTCAGTCAAGAAACACCAAGAGGTTAGTCCTGTTTTGGCCATCTTTCTCAATTTTTTTTTTTTTTTTTTTTTT